CCCCAGCAATATAGCAAACAATATTAACCAGCTTATCAGTCCTACCACAGAATCCCATTTTAGAACAACTTTACACAGCTCAGTATTCTTTGGCTTGGACTCTACCTAATGCTATTCCATTCTGAATACTGGCTTTAATATAAATGGTAAAACAAAAATCAGTAAGGAGATAATCCAATAAAATGTAATTGAAACGACAACAACTATTTCACTGCCTTGCAATTACAAAACCATGTGTTCTATAGTACAGAAGTTTTAACTCAAAGTTTTCTTATCCCAAACAGCATTACCTAGCCAAAGACAAATATTTACCTATTAAGAGATTTCTCTCTAGATACTCAGAGTGGGTACACTAGGTAGTTCAATTTGTAAAGACTTACTGATTTGCCTACATTTTTAAAATTTTGATTAGTGGCAATCTAGTTCAGAGGTCCCAGAGTTAATCTAATTCAGAGCACACTTATTTTCTTGAGGCCTTGGAAAGTTATCCAGAGTTTCAAAACGCCAGCACTAAAAAAGGCCTTGGAGGCTATCTAGTCCAACCCTACTACTTCACATACTGAACTAGGCAGAAGTTTGAAAACCTGATGGTACAACGAAAAGGTATCAGTGTCACACATGAGGCCCACAGGAGTTAAAAAGACCCCTAGGAAGTTAACCACACAGAATTGGGCCTAGGACCCCAAGATCCTAACACCCAATCCCACACTCCAAACAGGCCAACAGAGTGTACTATTTTAAACTGTTGAGAGGTTTTCATAAAATTGTATAAAGAACATATTTATACATATATTTGACAATTTCTAAAAAGATCTTGCAAAATTGAGAGTACAATCCAAGGAACACACCTCTTTCCCAACACAGAAACAATGTGCTTGCTTCTGACATTATTATTCCCTGCCTCACCCCCAAATTCAGACACTGACAAACTGATTGATTTACTCTTATTAAATGACACAACTGTTTTCTATAAATTGCTACATCTTCAAACACTAAAGGAAAGGAGAGAAAAATCTGTACCTAGCAAGCACTTCCATCTAACGAAAGCAGGGGCTCTCCTCAATTAACTCGTTAAAGAATCAAGAAGTTTAATGCTGGGGAGATGGGGTGGCTCAGATGGTTAAAGGCTCATCTGCCTTCGGCTCAGGTCATGATCCCAGGGGCCTGGGATGGAGCCCCGCATCAGGCTCCCTGCTCAGTGCAGAATCTGCTTCTCCCTCTCCCTCTGCCATTCCCTCTGCTTGTGCTCTCTGGCTCTACCTCTCTGTCAAATAAATTTAAAAAAAAAACTTAAAAAAAAAAGTTTAATGCTAATAATAGATTCAGTACTTATGCAGACATGATTTACAACGTGATTTTGATACCTGTACAAAACATTACAAACAAATCTGAAGAATACAAACCATACCAGAAGTTTAAAACAGGCTGTCTACTTCTGTACAGAATCCTACAAGATTTGGTTATAGGCATGTAATTCCAAAGCTTTGGTGCACATTGTTCATGGTAGTATCTTCACTCTCCTTTTCCTAAAGTTGGTGGGCAGGGAGCATGGGATCAGAAGTCTCAAAAGGAGAGGGAAGTCTCAAAAGGAGAGGGAAGTCTCAAAAGGAGAGAGAAGAGAGATACTCGGTTTTTCTCTCAGATGGATTTATATACTTTTGCAAAGATATTAATATCTGTACTAAACAGAGTCTATTGTGGAAATACTGCTGTTATGGACGTAGGCTTTTTATTTCATAATTATCAAGTTTACCTGCCCTCTAACTTGCCCTTTCTACTTAATAGCATATACTCAAAGTCAAATTTTCTCCCTCGCTATCCCCTGAACTCGAAACACGTGTGCTTTTTGTTCTAGCAAAACAAACTGCTAGAACCTTGTCTGACGACCACGTTCCATCACGGAAAAGTCTCACCCAGACCGGCTTTCCGGAGTATCCCAGGCCTGACAGTCCTGCAGAGTAAAAGGGGGTGTGTCCGCCGTAACTTAGCCCTCTCTTCCACCTCCCCGCAGCGACGCCCCGGCGCCCCTTCTTGGGGAGGGCTTGGGGAGCTGTTTCCAGAGCGTCCAGACCTCAGCCACCCGCCCACCTTTCTCGGGGCTGTTGTTGCTATTCCCAAAAGGGAGAATAGGGGGTGGTGCTGGCGAGGGCACAAATGAATCCCCAAACCCTTCCCACTGGGAGCTCCTGTACCCCCATCCAAGTCTTCCTCCCCCGTCTTGGGGGGGGGGTCTCTGCAGTAGCAGTGACCCTCTACCTCACTCTCTCTCGACACACACAGAGGGCGGGGGGGTCTACGCGCGAAGCCAGAGGGAGTGGAGGGCATCGAGCCGGGAAGGCAGGGCATCTAGGGCGTCGGGGCGGAAAAGGTGGTCCCGAGAGCTCTCGCCACACCACAAAGCCGCGGCCGAGCCTGGGTGTGAACGGGGGCCGAGCCCACACACAACAGGGAGGGGGGGGTGCCGCCGGGACCCACCAGCTGCTTCAGGTCCTCCTCGGAGAGCTCCGCGTAACGGTACCGCTGCTGCTCGAACTCGTACCGGGTGGTTTTGGCCACCACCACCACCCGCGACGGGCGGAAGCCGCCGTCGGGGCGGCTGCCACAGCCCGCCAGCTCGCGCGGCTGCCCCTGCCCCAGGTGCCGCCGGCCGCCGCCGTCACCGCAGAGCCGCGGCCGCGCGGCGGGGCCTCCCGCGCCCGGCCCCCTCAGCACCGCCGCCCGGCCGCCCGCCACACGCCGACAGCTGCCCAGCAGGAAGCCTCGGTAGCAAGTCATCCTCCGCCCGGCGGGGCTGCAGGCCCGGGCTCCCGCCTCGGCTCCCCGCCACCAGCAGTGCGCACCACCCGCGCCGCCCGGGCCTCTAACGCCGCGCCGGACCGGGAGAGGTTAAGTGCCCCGCCGTGCGTGGCCCGCGCCGCGAGGGGGACGTGCCCAGACGTTGACGGGGGCGGGGAAAGCCGGCGACTGGGAGGTGGGAGAGCCGAAGCCCGGGAAAGGTGGGCGGGGAAGAGCCAGAGGCCTCAGGGTGGTGGGTTTTGTTTGTTTGTGTATCCGTTTCCATCCACGCCTGCGCAGTGGCCGCTTCGCCGCCTGGGGGCCCACCTCCTGCTCCACCCCCTTCCCTGGGAGGGCACCAAACCCGCCCGCCCGCCCCCAACTCTGTGGGCCAATCAGAGCCAGCAGCGGTTTCGGAGCCCGAGGAACTGTGGGGATTGGCTGCGGCCGGAGGAAGGGCTGGAATTCTATTTGGCGATTGAGCTGCCTTAGGAATCCAGCTAGAACCGGTCTGAAGCGGCGCGGGGGCTGCGGGTGGGGTTTTGAGCGCCTGGCGGGAGAGCAGGTGCTTCTGGGCACTTCCTCGCTTGGGTTTCATTATTGCACTTTATCGGCCCGTGTAAAACTAGACCTTTTCATTATTGCGCACAAGTCTAGCTTCTTTACTCCTTCGTTCAGCCAAATCTAGTCGGATGGCCGATAAGACCAACGCTGGGCTGGGGGCCAGGGAGACTGACCAAGGACCATCTGCACAGTTTGCGCGGCCTAGTGCAAAATAAAAATTCCGAGCTTCTTGCTCAGGAAGTATTAAGAATTGCAAGACAGACAGCACTAAGCCGAGTGCCTGGCCCATCTGAACATGGTGCCTTGTGGGACTGCACAAGTAATAGCCCCTGCGGACAACCAAAAAACTATCAGCCCAGGGAGAGAAAGACAGGTAGGCTTTGAGGAAGTTAGAGGATAACGGGTAGAGGAATCTGGCCAAGTGGAGCATTTCTAGATGGGGAGATAAGATGCAAAAAGTAGACAGGTCAATAGAGAAAGGTAAGAATGTTAGTAATTTGGAGTTCATTCTATAGGCAGCAGTTAGCCTTTTGAAGGCTCTTAACTGGAAAGAAGTGAGTCCTGAAAACGATGATGACTGTTTATCTGGCTTGGGACTGTTGAGCGGATTGGGAGGCAAGAGGAGGGAGACCTGGCGCTGTTGGAGTAGTTACACTTGGCCCTGGGTTGACTTAGTAGTAATGGAAGTAGAAGAAAGCGCTCCTTTTACAGGGGAGAATCAAATGGCAATCCACGTCCTACTGTTCGTCCTTCCTGCTCCTTACATCCACTTGCTTGGGTGCCCTCTTTGCTTCTTTATAGTCCTAGCATTATCAGTAACTAGCCTGTGGACTTCCGGCAGGTCACTTCATCTTTCTGGGCCTCAGATACCTCATCTATAAAATGAGGGTGTAGAACTAGAGTGATAGCAAGGTTCTTTCAAAGCCCAAATTGATCCTGAACCTGGACTCTTCCTTTTTTAGCTATCCACCACCAACAACATTCATTCATGGGTTCACTGAATATTTATGGAGTCCCTACTGTGTGCCAGAGAGTATATTAGAATAGGAAATAACACAATGAAGGCTGATGTCTACTTTTAGTAGGTCACTGATCCCTTCTGGTCAGGAACTTTGCCTCACAGCAGGTGCTAGTAGTGACTTGGAATGGAAATTTAAGCACCTCTCTTAACTTCTGTGGGGTGTGAGTTACTCGTGTATAACTTGAACATCCTCAAGATCCTTTCTCTTCTCACTCTTCCAACACCTTGTTATCCTAAGGATTTCCACAGAGAAAACAGCATGAGCAAAAGCATGGAGCAATGAAATAGCAGTTCTGAATTGCTAGAGAATTTAGAGGGAGGCAGGCCACAGTGGGAAGTGAGGCTAGGGAGGCAGGCAGGGGAAAGACATGGAAAGTGGCGTGCTTAGGAGCTTGGATTTTATCCTGTATATGCTAAGAAGCCACTAAAATGGGAAAATGGCATGCTTAGCTTTGACAGGAATTTCTTAGAAGAAACAACCAGAGAATAAATACCTGAATGATACTCAACCTTATTAGAAATTAAAAAGATACAAATTAAGGTAATTTCACTGAAATAGTCTTTTATATCCACTAGCTTCACAGAAATTAAGAAGTTTTGGCAAACTTCCAATTGTTTGAAAACTATTACATCAAGTCTTTATTAGGCTACACATTTGCCAGTTATTTCAATAGCTTCTCCAATGCCACAGTTTCCAAGTATCATCTTAGAAACTTTAAATGTGTTCATGTATTCCAGTTTGTCCACTCCCAAGTCTGATGTCAAAAATCATGCAGTACTGTGGGTGTGATTTGTCCATTGCAAAACAAACAGAAGTGCTTACATTCACGGATTTAATATGAATTTCAAAACCCTCAAACTACTAAAATAATCTGTAATGTTACTGAGTTTCAAAAACTCAAACCCCATCTCTGGCAGGGCTGATATACTTTTTTAGTGAGTGAGCTTACCCAACCACCTGGTAACTACATCTCAAGAAGCTTATTTGTTCTCAACATATTATGGGAAAAATTATGTATCATTGTGATATTCACAACTTGAGGATTTACAAAGGTTAAGATGTATCCTTCCAACCCATTTCATGTACATACTGACTCTATGAAAGATACACACACCCTTTTTTTTTAAATGACATCCACATATTCCAAGACTTGTATAGGGTATTAATCCTTGAGGTCTAAGGATTCCTGGCTTTGACAGTAATGGATGTAAAATAATATTTTACAAGAGAACATTCTGATGGTCCATAATTAAGCTGAATAACTTGGTAGAGTCTAAAGTCTTGTTGAAAGAGAAGAATGTTAAGGTTACTTGAGTATAAGATATATAATTAGATATATTAAATATATATCTAGTATATTTGGGAAATATTTCAGTAAATTTTGACAAAAGCAGCTCCTTTTAAAAAAAAAAAAAGATTTTATTTATTTATTTGACAGAGACAGACACTGTGAGAAAGGAAACACAAGCAGGGGGGAGTAGGAGAGGGTGAAGCAAGCTTCCTGATGCGAAGCTTGATCCCAGGACCCTGGGATCATGACCTGAGCCAAAGGCAGACACTTAATGACTGAGCTACCCAGGCACCCTGACAAAAAGCAGCTTCTATCAAAATCTAAGATGTATGCTTTGAAATCATCTACCTAATAACTTATGAAAATGATTATCATTGTAGGATGATCTCTTCACCTTACAGAAAGGTCAACATATGTAGAAAAGCCAAAAAGAAGAAGGTTAGATGAAGATATAGGACAAAGAGAAACTATAAGATGTTTCTACTTCTATTATCCCCTCCTAAATATTACCAAATATTTGCATAAAGATTGTAAAAAGGAATAGTAGAGTGGATAGAAAATGGTTTGAAAGTCACAAGCTAGATATCATGTTTCTGCATTGGTAACCATGTCATAATCCAGAAATTTTCACTTTTTCTCTCTGCCTTCCTGATATTCTGTTTTTTATTCTGTTGCACTGACATTAATGTGTAGATAAGTAATTGAAGTAGTCTAATTTTTTTTGCTCTGTATATGAAGAGAAGTACAAGGAAAATCAAATAAAGAAAGAATGAATTCAAATGATATTAAAATATTTGAGGCATTGAGAAATATTGCTTTATCTCCACCCTAAAGTGAGCACAAGAATGAACATGTCAGGAAGATAAAGATCTCTGTTCTCTGCTTTACTTTAACAATTTAGTGCAATCACAGTGTTCCCATATCAACTAAGATCTTATAGGAAAAAAGAACCAATTCTTTCATTTCTTCTCCAGATGTCTTCTGTTTATTTTTGCTTCTAAAGAAAATTTTCCTCTGTGTTCTGTATCAGAGGCATTTTTTGGGGTTAAAAAACCCAACCAACTTTAAACTTTTGTTGTCTCATTGTTTTTATTCTTCCTTTTATGCTAGAGCTCTTCTTTGATTTTTTCCCCCTTCTCTCTACCTCTTCTCTATTCCTCTCTCACATTAATTTTTCTTTTCCATTTCCTGAATCATTGCTTACTTTAGAAGGATGCTGTATTTCTTCTATAGTCACTAGAATGAATAAGCCTCTCTTAGTAACTAACTTAGTAAAAGTTATAGGGAAAGAGCAAAACTCTGAACAATTTATATACTAATTTATATACTAATAATTTATATAATTTATAATTTATATACTAACCAATTAGAGTCTAAAAGAATTAATTGAACTTTCATATGCCAAACTATACCATACTATACCATACATACATACTGTATGTATGCATGTATGAATCTATATATCTATCTATATCTAAATAATTGCTTTTATTACTATAAAAGGTACTGTAGCAAAATAATGTAACTTTAAAAAATGTGTATTCATATGTATATATCCAAATGAATATTGTTCTTCAAAGTAACATTTAGTGAGGTTAGACCCATTATTCCAAATATGTTGTCATTGTTCAAAAAATCTTCAGAAATCATTTTGGAATTATAAATCCTATTCCCTAGTTATGGACTGAATGTTTATGTTCTCCTCCAAATGTATATGTTGAAGCCCTGAGCTCCAATGTGATAGAATTTGGAGATGGGGCTTTGGGGGGTAATTAGTGTTAGATAAATTTAAGGGGGCAGGGCCCTGGTCTAATGGGATTAGCGCCCTTATGGGATGAGACACTAGGGAGCTTGCTCTCTCTCTCTGCCCGTGCTCCCACAAAGAGGTCCTGCGAGCACGCGAGGCAATGACAGCAGCCTACAACCACGAGAAGAGGCCTCAGAATAAGCCTATTTTGTTGACCCTTTGATCTTCAACTTCTCAGCCTCTAGAACTGTGAAAAATAACAGTGTGGTATTTTGTTATGACACCCTGAGAAGACTAAGATGCCTCTAACAAGGGAATATTTAGGAATCATGATCAAAAGTCATTTTGAAGTCATGGGGTGATCAAACTGGATTGAAAAATGAAATATGCCTAGAAGCACTAATTTTTCTGTGTAACTCATAAGGTGTCTCTGAGACAAATCTCAAAAGAGGAGCATCAAAACTTTGTTGCACAAATGTTGAAATTATTACAGTCTACCACAATAACAGCATTTAAGAAAAAATTCATTTGGGTATATATGAATATATTTGGTTTTTTTAAAAGGTCTCTATACAGCTACACCCATTAGACTATTAATGACAATCTAATTACATAAAGCAAAGAACAAGTTAACATATTTTACTTTTTGTATACTTACTGTTTTGTTACATAGTTAATGTATTTTGTTCATCCCTTCAACAACTATTGGATGCTGAACTGGAGTCAAGCATACACAAGGTGCAATGGATACAGGTCCAAGACAACACTATCTTTAAAGGAATTCATACCATGAATATATAATCTTATAGTAGTAGTAAATCCAAAGGTTAAATGAAAATACACATTTCCCAGAAGAGAAACATGACTTAATGAAATGTTAGCATGCAGATATAGTGTTTTGGAAGAAATGACTGGAAATCTTGTAAAATATTTGTTTTATGACCAGGCAATGTATGACTGAAAAAATATTTTAGTTAGATATTTATGAAATCCAGAAATTTATTTGAACTATTATATCCACCAATGTGATGAATAGTCCAAATTAGTTATCAAATCCTATTCTAAATTAGCTTCTTCAAAAATGATTAATTTTGAACTTCCAAAGTCCGTGTATTTCTTAAATTCTGTCATTTTCTCCACAATAATCAAAATATAAAACCTTGCAATTATTAGACTATATAAAAGAAAAATCTTAATTGCAACAAATTATCTTTCATGAACTGTGCTGTAAAAACTCTTCAAGGAACGAATAGGATCTTCTCATTTAGTTAGGATGGCTTAGTATTTTCAGTAAGATGACCAATCTTTTTGTAGATGTTGTCACGTTTATAGTAGATAGCGTTCATGAACAGGCAACCGACTGTCTGTGGGTCCACCTAGAAGGATCTGTGATATAAATTTAAAATATTATAAAATGTTATATTCAGATTAGATTTAATATTGAACACAACTGAACATGAATATGCATGAATATGCTTACTGTGAGGAAATGCAATATATAGAATATACATTTTATATGTAACATTTGGAAATGTTGCTAATTTTAAACATGACATTTCAGATAATTAAACCCTTCCTTAATTCATGGGCAACAAAGTTTTAAAAAATAGACTTTTTATTGCTTTCCTAACAGTTTAGCATTTGTATGCCACACCTCCTGGAGAAAGTACTAAATGAAAAGGGAAAAATGGCAGAGGAAGGGTGGGTTCATATGATTGACATTTACTTTGCATTATTTCCATTGTTTCTCATTTTGTATGAGGATAATTGCATATTACTCTTTCCTAAAATGGAATATAATAAAATATAGATTTCCTAAGTGTGACTTTTGTTGATGAGAGAATTTTGCCATTTAATCCTATTTCAAGCTAACATTTCTAATGGATACCAATCCATTTTCTAATAGACCCCATTTTATTATTGACAATATAAACATTATAAAGGATAATTTTATTCATACATCTCACACATTTTAAAGAATAAGAAACCATTTGTTTAAGAACGACAAGAAAAATCATATTCACTTAGTTCTCTGGCTCACTGAGTCAAGCAGTTTATAATCCTGATCTGCATATTTTGTGCATTTTTCTTCTTGATTACATTTTTAGTATTAGGCAAAGGAAGATATTTCTTTTTTTTTTTTTTAAGATTCCATTTATTTATTTGAGACAGAATGAGAGAGAGAGAGAGAGCACATGAGAGGGGGGAGGGTCAGAGGAAGAAGCAGGCTCGCTGCCAAGCAGGGAGCCCGATGCGGGACTTGATCCAGGGACTCCAGGATCAGGACCTGAGCCGAAGGCAGTCGCTTAACCAACTGAGCCACCCAGGCGCCCATGCAAAGGAAGATATTTCATCAAGTTTTGCACTTGTACTCTGATAGATTCTTAAATTATGTATGATTAAGTTACCTTTAAAATTTAAAATGATTAAAAGTTGCAAAAATGCTTGCTAACACACTGTCTTTATAAGTATGTTACTCAGTTCTCTGTAGAGCAGAATTCAGGCCTAAATGAAACTATTACTGAAAATACTTGGCACCATTTATATAACAGAGGTGGGTTTATTATTTCCTTGACAGTGTTTCTCTCCAAAAATAATGATAAGTTTTTGTTTTAAATCTACTCATCAGGATAAGCATTGAAACCTAAAAATCTGCTAACTACTGGTTCTACTTCAACCTTGCTCAACTCATGAATCCAGACACAATAAAAAAAATAATACTGTTTGCCCTAGGCAAAAAAAGTCCTTGAGAATAAAGCAGTCCAATTCCAAAAAGGAGATAAATAAGAGTTTCGGTATTTCAAGCCATATTTGTCTGGTGGGCTCCATTGCAATGTGTTTTTACCTGTATGATATATTTATAATTTCTTCTATTATAGCCAATAATAGGAAAATGAGACCATGTGAAGAGAAACAAATGGGCTAGTTTCAGTGTATCAGTGTAAGACTTTATGGTATTTTTATTAAGTTTATGTGCAAATGACATACGGGCATCACAATGGGGATGACTTTTGGCAAAATCATAATGAAGGCCACAGATAGAAGACAATGATTTACAAATCCATTCCTCTGATCCAAAGAGCTGGGACTCTAATTCCCATCCACTCTAAACAGATTAGTTCCACTTTACAAAAATCTATTTCATATATTAGGATTGTGCAGAAGATTTCTTTCTTAAACAGCTGACCCTAAGAAAAGAAAAGCTATTTACCTGATCTATTTTTAGTGACTTGGATGAAATCATCCTCATCCTCATCACAGCTTTCGCAGTTTAATTGTTGGAGGCTTGTTTCTGACTGGCTTTCAGCTTGATTTACATCTTTCTGTTCATTGAAGCTTCGAAGTGCAACCAGCCGATGATGTATTGCTGCATACAGACATCCTGTGTCTTTGGCGCTGGCCTGCATGAGGAAAATTAAGTTGTTAAGAATATAAATAGGAGCACCTGGGTGGCTCAGTCAGTTAAGCAGCCGACTCTTGATTTCAGCTCAGATCATGATCTCAGGGTCGTGAGACCGAGCCCCATGTCAGGCTTCGCGCACTCAGGGTGAGTCTGCTTGAGATTCTCTCTCCCCTGTCCCTCTGCCCTCCCCCTGCCCTCTCTCTCTCTCAAAATAAATAAATAAATAAAATCTTAGGAGTAGAAATAATAATAGCCACATTTTAGAGATTTTTAATCTTCAACTATTAATAAGGAAAGAATTATATGGCATAAATCTAGAATATAAATAACTCTAAAAATTAAAGAGTGAAAAGCCATTCATCTTGAAGCAAATTGAATCTGAAAGTGAATAATTTTATAACAGGTCCCAATTTGTGCATTTTAAACTGAGAAATGAAATTTTGTGATTTAAAATTTCTATTTGAATTGAAGACTATCCTTCCTCCACTGTTTTACACTGTAGAAAATTGTAGGGTGGATGAAAAAGAAAGACCACCTTTCCTTTACATGACTGCGTTTCGATGTCCCATGCAAGCCTCACAGCTCAGTGAAAGAGCAGAGCTCATTAGAGCAATCTATAATATTGCAGCATAGAAGCTCAGAGTGCCGGCCATTGTGCCACAGAGCCACCTTTATGATATTGTATCAGAAACACCTCAGAAGGAACACCTGGGGGGCTCAGTCAGTTAAGCATCTGCCTTTGGCTCGGGTCATGATCCCGGGGTCCTGGGATCGAGTCCCGCATCGGGCTCCTTCCTGAGCGGGGAGCCTGCTTCTCCCTCTGCCTGCCGCTCCACCCTGCTTGTGCTCTCTCTGTCTCTCTCTGACAAATAAGTAAATAAAATCTTTAAAAAAAAAGAAAGAAAGAAACACATCAGAAGTCTTTGCTCTCAGTACTTTTCTATGCTGTTTTTATGGATGCTCTTAATATAAAAAATGATGGTGACAATAACACTGTTATAACAGTTATGGTTACTACACTCTTTTTTATTCAATCCTTACAATGAAACCATGAGTGAATTATTTATTTCACTTATATTAGCAAAAGCACCCAGTACAAGTATTCAGTATATTCTCATTTCCCACATCCCTCTACAGATGAGGAGATGAAGGCTCAGAAAGGTACAATGACTTGCTTGAGTGTACTTAGCTAGTCAGCAGATTGGTTGGGCTCGCATCCCAGATCTTTGTCATCAAAGTCAGTGCTCTTTTAAGGTAACATGGCAGTGGTTTATATTTTTGTATCTTTTCACAATTTCGCAGAGAATCTAGGTAAATTATTCTCTTTGCTAACCCTCCAGAAAGCGGTCTTACTTTTCAAACCAAGAAATGAGGGTTGAACAAACTACATGCCAACTTTTTGGGAGAAGGGTCTTAAGTTATATATATATATATATATATATATGTACATATATATATTTAAAGATTTTATTTATTTGACAGAGACACAGCGAGAGAGGGGACACAAGCAGGGGCAGAGAGAGAGGGAGAAGCAGGCTCCCCGATGAGCAGGGAGCCTGATGCGGAACTCGATCCCAGAACCCTGGGATCATGACCTGAACCGAAGGCAGACGCTTAATGACTGAGCCACCCAAGCGCCCTATATATATATTTTTTCAAGATTTTATTCATTTATTTGACAGAGAGAGACACAGCGAGAGAGGGAACACAAGCAGGGCGAGTGGGAGAGGGAGAAGCAGGCTTCCCGCCAAGCAGGGAGCCCAATGCAGGGCTCAATCCCAGGACCCTGGGATCATGACCTGAGCCTAAGGCAGACACTTAACAACTGAGCCACCCAGGCACCCCGAGTTATATTTTTTCATTTGCATGTTCTTAAGTTCCCTTAATTACTTTGGGGGGAAAATAACTATAAGTTAAATAAAATATTTTTGTTCCTCATATTGTGCTAAATATTATATAGATGTTGAGAAAATAATTGTTGAATCTTGACTGATTTCATTTTTTACATTATGTGCAAAGGTGTAATTTTTCCTTAGTAAGTTAATAAATATTGCAAGAGTATTTGTAATTGAAATATAAATACTACTCTGCCACCTTGACTTTCTAACATTAAAATTTAAATATGTCTTCCACTGGTCAATATATTGCCTTTTGCCAAATTCATTCAGATATATTCATTCAAGGAATTCAGAACAAGAAATTAAAAATAAAATCACAATGATATATTTTTTAAATAACAAATTCTCTATGCTTAAAAGAATGATAATTCCCAGGAAGTACCATAAGAAAATGCTGGAGAGAATGAAAATTGATTCAGTCTTTCTGAAGAGAAATTTGTCAAGACAAGTCAAAACCTTATCCGAAGAAAATTAACATGTATGTACACAGAGAATTCCTCACATCTTTCTTGCAGAATTTTTAATAATGAAAGGCAGTAAATTACCTAAGTATTTAACAAAGTGGAATTAATGGAATAAATTAGGGTGCATAATAGAATTCTTTTCGCCTATTAAAAGAATTTTCAAAAAATGAACTATTTAATGACAGGAAAACACTTTCACTGATGAGTGAAAAGGTTACCTATGTGTACTTCATAATCAAATATTCACATTCTAATCTATTTAACCACTTTATAAAGTAAATTATTATTATCTTTATTTGGCAGATGAGTAAATTCAAGTTAAAGAATCTAAATAACCTACCTGAAGATCATACAGTTTGTACAATACATACATATGTGTGCACACACATATATGCTAAAATATAAGAAAAATGTTCATAATGACCATGCCTGGGAATGGAATTTGGGGTGATTTTTATTTGCATTTAGCTGGCTTATCTCTAGCAGATATCCTACAATTTAGGGAGCCAGCGTGGGTCAGATACTGAACAGCAGAATCTCATCTTAGCTAATGGTCTCAATCTTAGTATCAGCTACAGGCAGGCTGCTTTACTTGCTCAAAGCCAGGGGATCCAGCCTAGCAGAGTATCAGGGACTGTCTCCCTCGATGGTAAACAACATTTGGGCATTATCTTACTCTAACATCTCCATACTCAACATCACTTACACCTAACAGTGCCCTTACTGGTAGTTAATAAAACCTTTGGTTTTTCATCATTGGGCACTTGGCAACTTTTTTTCCCCATTACTTTCCATTCCATTTCCATTTCCATTACTATGGGAGCTAATTTACTTGTACTGTTACCTTCTGCCTGAGTCATGTGAGTACTCAGTCTGCTCCAGTCTTCTGGGTCTCAGCCCATGTGGGAAACCTAACCTTTTTTCTGGTTTGATCCCTGCCAGATCTCTCTCTTTTGTGCCTGAATCTTGTATTTGAGGTCAAGCATTCCTGCTGCCGGGAAAAGCTAAGTCTGTGCTCCCATCCTGTTACCTTGGAGACTGACTCATGTCCAGAATGGGAATGTGCTGTTGGACTGATTGTTTTGACTTACGAGCCCTCTGTTTTTCCATTTCTCACTGGTTTCTTTCCAGTGATCTCAAAGCCTTCTGAATTTCAGCATTCAGTATAAGCACTGGGCTGTGTATTCCACTGGACTCCTAGGAGCCAGTCTTGACAACAGTCCCTTTGGTAACTTAGTAAGATTGTTGACATAATTTGTAATACCATTACACATAATGGTAAAGAAAAATGAGGAGGTTTGAAGCATATATCAGTACAAATGTCTTGGACATATACCAATTGATTACTATAGATTTTGGTGTTAATCTGTAAATTTCCATATAAAATTTAGGTCTTATATTAAACTGTAAACAACCAAAATGAATGGCTGAAGTTTGGTTTTTTGTTTTTTGTTTTTTGCCAGTGGTGCAGGTTACAATGAAATTACACAATTTAGCAATTGCAGCGATCTAGAAATATAGTAGGATAATTCTCTATCACTGTAATCTGTTACTTACCTGAATTAAAAACACTTTGATGCTATAGTCTTCTAAATCAGTAGCTGTTATTCGCAAATTTTTGTGGTTCGCTCTTTGAATCTCCATTTGAGCCCAGAGTTTGCTATTGAGGATCAGCCTCAGGCTGCCTTGATTGCGCATAACTAAAATGGGAAGGTGAATATATAAGACTACAGAACAGTTGATTACTTGACCTTCTGGGGAATTTGCCATTTTTGAAAGCAAAGTAAATCTTTCAGTGGTTTTTCAGACTGTGTTTTCACTATTACATTGTAATTTGGCTTGATTATAAGTTGGTTTTCAAATTGAGCTTTATTATGTTGGAGGACTAATTTTAGCTTAAAAGCCGGAATTATTTTTTTTACTATAATATTAAAAAATGATTAAAATTTTAGAACTCCTTTGAGGATCTAGTGGTCTGAAGAATATTTATCCAAGAATTGTTTACAATGGAGAAAACTTGGCTTTAGGCATTCAGAAAATGAAATTAGCTAAATTAGTTAAAAAATGACATGGCTATTTAAGATAATACTATGAACCCATTAAGAATTGGGAAGAAAGATAACTACTGATGTGGAAAGGTGATCATGGTATACCACATAAAATGTACAATCAGGTTACCCAGCAATGTAAACACCATGCATCACAAATTTTGGCAGGCAGTGGAAAGAGTGGCATTGAACAAGAGTAGAAAACAACTAGCACCTGCCTTGGGAATAATACTTGGTTGGGTTACTTAGAAACCTGTTTGCCAGTTATAGAACTGAAGACACAGTTCCTATTCTTTTAGTGTGAGTTCTAGTCCTCGCTGGTTTCTTGAGCTTGATATCTGAAGCTCAATAAACATCCGTATACATGGATCCAACTTCTACCAGTGGTCCCCTCCACAGCTTTGCCTGCCCAGTGTTGACCAGTAAACCTACTGGCCCTGCCCAGGGCTCTCACTTTCAGTTTGGGCCTCTGAACAATGCTCAGTGTGTCTTCTCGGATGCCAAAAACTTTCTGAGTGTTTCAGTTTGATTGACTCCAGATTCTCACCATCACTCTGGATATCAGTAACCACACACAGGATTCAGTAACCACACACCTTTATTTCCTAGGAATCTGACCCTTCATCTCAACCCACATGCCATGTTTAGAATGCCAAGAATAAACGACAGGGCAGATACTCTCTTTTAGAAAAACTACTTTTCCTTCAGAAATGATGTCATCCTATGTATGGCCTTTAAATAATACGGAGATTACTGTTGAGGTGTGTGCTGGGCTTGCTCATAGATGCTTAAGTGCATTATCTCACTGAATTCTCACAATTGCTCAGTAAGTCATGGAGTACTATTCTCCCCATTTGAAACAGATGTAACTAGGGCAGGGAGAGATTAAGTACTTCGTCCAAGGTCACTAGTCAGTGATAGAGGCAGAACCAGAGGCTGCTCTAAACAGGAAGCTGCCATAGTACATTAGAAACAACATTGTTTTCAACAGACTGATTTGTTGACTCTTTGAAAGCATATCGCCAGAAAATGATGTGTACCTACTGGTAATTTTACTCTGAGAAAGAGTGGGTTGCTTTACAAAATGATTCCTTACTTAGTCTTGACTGGAATGTTCCACAATCACTGCTCGCTGTGTCATTCAGCCTCAAAGCTCCTCTGCCCCTTTCAATCCAGGACTGTGTTGTTTTGTTGAATATAAAAAGCTTGCAGTTGATCTAAAGGACAATTTTTTTAAATGTCAAATATATAAAAAAATTTTTTTCGAAGTGATTCCTTTCCTATGCTGCAACACTTTTCTTTGTCTGACTTTACCAGAATAACCTCTCTTAATGATTTGTAAACCAGCTTTAAAAATTTAACTTTTAAAACACGCAATTTTTGAATAGTTCAAATATCAAAAAGCAAAAAAGATGTACAAAATGGAAAGTCCTTCCCAACCGTACTTCTCCATCTGTCAGTTTCTACCCCCTGCAACAGGTGATCGCTGTTGCTAATATTTTGTTTATCCTTCTAGAGATACTTGTATGTATATACATGCCGATACATATGTCCCTTATTTTTTCTATAAATGGTAGAATACCATACTTTCTGCATCGTGATTTTTCACTTAACAATATATTTATATGTACCAACTTTTAAATGAAATTTAATGTTATTTGAGCTATGTGACTTATGTGAAAGTAAAGGATTAGTGAAACTATTTGCATGCTTAAAATTTTTTGAGGAATACGGCAACTAGGAAGTGGTACTACAGAGTACCATACTATAATTTAATGCTTACCAGAATTAAATATTACTGTGTACAAGAATCACCCAGATGACTTGTTAAAAATATAGCATGCCAGGACCTCACCCCTAGCAATTATTTCACTTAACCTCTGTTTAAGATGATCTGAGAGTTATGCTTAGAAGCACACTTGTATAGTAAATGTATCAGTAAATCATGGGAGAAGAGAAGAGAAATGGAGAGATTTGGGGGTAAGAGCAGATGGAGAAGGAGAAAGGGAAATCTGCACCTTGTTGAAAAACCATTATGTCATAGTAATTACATTTCATGTGCCTCGGCTGATAGACCACTCAACATTCGAATCCTATGTATGATACTGTATATTATATCTGTGAAAGTCTTGCTTTATATGAAATCCAAAACTTATATAAAAGAACTTTTCAAAGAAAGACAGAATTTTTTTATTATCTTGAACTGAAATCTATTCATCTTATCATTTAAAAATGTCCAGGGTAAGTAGAAATTTTCAATCATAGGATGATAGCACTGATTATAAAAGTAGGCATGAAAAGTATAAAAATTAGGTCTGAAGTTATTTTAAGACAGGATGCCTGGCTGTCTTCTTTCTAAAAGACTAATGTGAATGCTTGTAAACCCAATAATCCATCTTCCTGAAAATTACACATACTAACGTATGAATACAACAAACTATTGGCTTAGTCTTTGGAAGCCCCTCACAGTTTTATTGAAGCAGCTCTGTCCTAATGAAAACTATACTTCTGCCTTTATTTTTAAAGGGGTTCCTGCTTATAGAAACTTGATTTCATGTACAGACGTGCTGCCAGAAAGAGCAACGTGTGGTATACAGACCTTTAACACATTATGCTCTGCTTCTTCCCCTGTTACAACATCAATTTTCTCCAGCAAGCATTTGGGTGATGGCTTAGAAGAGAAAGCAGCAGCTGATTCAATTAGGGATATATTTTTAATAGAGTCTGTGCCTAAGAAAAAAATAGGGGGGGAAAGACACATAAAAGACCCCATTTTTCTCTACTGTAAAAGCTCTTTATTGTCCCCATTGATATACAGGTCTCCTAAGCTTTTTATAACAATGAGTGTTTCCCGGGGCGCCCAGGTGGCTCAGTCTGTTGAGGGTCTGTCTTTGGCTCAGGTCATGATCTCGGGGTTCTGGGATAGAGCCCCACATTGGGCTCCCTGCTCAGCGGGGAGCCTGCTTCTCCTCTGCCCCTCCCTCTGCTTGTGCGTGAGTACGCACGCGTCCTCTCTCTCTAACAAAATCTTTGAAAAACAAAACAAAAATAATGAGGGTTTCCCAAAAAGTGAAACTACTCGAGTTTAGATAAATCTCTTTAATGATTTCTCATGTGCTCAAGTAAAAAATGTTTAAGCTTATGTATCATACAACCATATTTGTATGCTTTAATCTTTACCAAAAAGTTTTAAAGCACTGTGTTATTGTTTTTGTATTTTATAGATACTAAACAAATGACATGGGAAAACAGGAAATACACTAGTTGAATCTTTTTTTTTTTTTTTTTTACAAATGACATAATTCTTACTTGAATTTGGAGAGTTGACAGGAAATTCTAGAGTGGATTTGAACGGTTTTTCCCTGGTGTTTGAGTCATTTTCGAGTTGAGGTTGGGTGAGATGTTGAGTATCCTGGGTGAGGCAAAAAGATATATTACAGAATTGTATCCCTATATATTTGCAGTAAGCCAAAAGTTACCTTTCTTTCTTCTACTTCAACACGGCAAACTCTACTGCAATGTTTTTGTTTGGGGTTCCCAATGTGCTCTACGGGGAAATCCTTCCTATCACATCACAGGACCTTGGTCCTGATCCTCAGGAAGCGTAATCTGGTTACCACCAGCCTACTTCAGGTGGGATCTCATTCCAGGGACAAGGGGAGAAGGTTTAGAGACCCAAAAGGAGGTAGCAGCTGTTCCGTGCTACCACCAGACCACCCTGATGCCTCAAAGGAGATGCAACTCTCATCTCTGTTTCAAGGTATTTCAGTATTCCCAGCGCCTCACTCTCTATCCAAAATAATCATACAAGTTACCCAGAGAACCCACTCACTGTCTCAGAGCTCATCTTAATTTTTCCTCTAATTTCTGCCAAAAATCGCTTTTAAGGCAGCACACATGGGGCCCTGCCCAGGTGCTGTAACCAAGGCCTGTGAAGAAAGAGTGAGTAACTGCCCGGCCATTTATGATCCCGGAGATCCCCCCGCAGAACAGAGGGAATTGTAACAGTACTTCAGAACTTGGGTTTCTGTCTTTTCCTTTATGAACTCAAAACTCTTCCACATTATTTAACTGGATATTTTAAGATATTCTGCTACAATTGGTAGAGATGAGTGTGATTATTTCCATTTTAAGAAAATAAACAGGAAGGCACAGAAAGTTTCATGACTCTCGGGAACAGCGCATGGTCAGCACACGAGTCCGGAGGGCATTCTGACCCCCAGATCACAAGGTCACGGGATTATAGGATTAAGCAGAGGACACATACAAGTGATCGCTACAGCTCCTGCTAGCCTAGGATGTTATCATCTTAAAGAGACAGGAAGCTCAGTTTTCCTTTGCAAGCCAGATTGAAAGTGCCCACAGGAAATGTATACCGGTACCTCCTCAAAGCAAAGTTCTAATCCCAACTGCAGTTCATTTGCTCAGGTATGTCTCTGTCTCCCCTTAGATTATAAGCACCTCTAGAGCACAGGGTCTCCCTTTCGCTTCACATAACCACTCACCCAGGTGTTTTTCAATCCTGGCTGTGCATTCAAATCACCTGACACCTAGCCTCACCCACAGAGACTCTGATCTAATCGGTTTGGGGAAATGCTCAGGCATACTGACTCCTTTAGAGAGTCGCGAGATGATTGTTAATACACAGCCAAACTTGAGACCCACGCCAGAGCTTTAGACCTCGTAAGAACACAGAACATGTTTGTTAAGTCGAATTGGGTGTTAAGGTTGATCCTGTGAGGCTTGGAAAGTATTTTATTTGTGTCTGTGACATCTTACAGAAGCTGTGGTTAATGTAGTGCTAAATTTAGGACTAAACAGTATGGAAGAAATGTGCCTAAATGTATCGCCTAGAACTTCACTCTGGAAGTTGGTCCATTCTGGTTCAGATCCAAAGATATGGATCAACAGCTCTAGAACTGTGGAGTCACCCTTCATCTTGAGAGTGACAGAGGGTGCCCCCAAGCTAAAAAGCTAGGACACTACTCTTGGAATTTGGGTTTAGCCTGAGGGGGGTGTAGAATAAACCAAGTCTTAAAAGGGATTGATTTGTGAAAGCCCTAAAAAACTTGGAATAGACAGACCTCATGAGTTGGTCCTTTGTTATTCTGAGCCTCTATGCAGGTTTTAAAATCTGTGTAGTCTCCTCTGGATCCTTGATGTAACTAGTAGTCCTAATGCATGCTAGCTGTGGAGGGCAGAGGGGCAACCACCTCATGCAGGAGGACGCCCAATACTAAATAGGGATGCCGGTAAAACTCCTTAGGGGTTTCCACTTGGCAAGTATGTTTCCCTAGGCAAGTAAAGTACTATGATTTTCCTCTTAAAGCCTGCAAAAAAAAAAAGTTATGATAGGGCGCCTGGGTGGCTCAGTTGGTTAAGCGACTGCCTTCGGCTCAGGTCATGATCCTGGAGTCCCTGGATCGAGTCCCGCATCGGGCTCCCTGCTCCGCAGGGAGTCTGCTTTGTCCTCTGACCCTATCCCCTCTCATGTGTTCTCTATCTCTCAAATAAATAAATAAAAAATCTTTGAAAAAAAAAGTTATGATAGTGTTTTTCACTATAAAAGCTTGAAGGGGAGGGTTGTGGTTAGCAAGAAAAAATTGGCAAATGATTTTAAGTGCATCTTGTTATGAAAGACGCTATCGAAAACCTGATATTAAAATATCATTACCAGTTAAGCTCATCTATTGCAGATAATTCTGGGATTTCCTTGGGTACCTTGGGTGTAACACACGTCAAAGAACTATTTAATATTTCTCATCAGTAATAATGTTATAATTATACAATTCCCTTCCTCTGTGGGTTCCTGCCTATTATTCTAACAACTAGAACTTGCTTCCCAGGAGAATCTTTCTGGTTAAAGAAAGAAAACGTGCCTTCGAACTCAGGATTTAAAGTATGCTCCAATTTAACATTGTTTTAATTAATATGCCTCCAGAAACTCAAAGTGACATCTTTTATAATTCTTTATAATGCCAGAATTCTTACCAAAACTCTTTCTACCATGTTTTCTCCAAACACAAAATCAGAACTGCAGCTTTTAAAAGAATACTTATCTTCATTTGGTTGACATCTAAGGAAAAGAAATGAACATTTGCGATTTGAAATATATGGATAAAGCCATGATAGATCTTAGCACATGAAATAACCGGAAGATTTAACAGATTTATGTAAAGCACAAAAATAGCTAACTCTTGTTCATCTGCAGCCACTGAGAAATGAAGGAAAAATTGAAGTACTCCTGGGGATGATATTTAAAATATTTGACAGCTGTGACAGCACAAATTGAGACCAGGCCAAACACATGTCATGCCCATCACTGTTCAGGCTGTGTGATCAACCAGGGGCTGGCCCAGACCTTATCTGCTTGCTTTTCCAGCACAGCCTCTCCAATCTCTCATTGCTTCTGTCCTCTTCCCCAAGTGGCCAATGCTCCCAGCTACCAGAGGTCTCCAGAGCAAAAGCACAGCCAATCTATCTTGTCAGTTACACTTGAGTGGGCTTTTGTTTAATTTAGGTTTTTTTCCTCCTGGAACTTTTTTGTTGTTGTTGCTAAAAGTGTTTTGCGTGATGAGAAACTCAAAGATATACAGCTGTCTATCTGTGGGCCAATGTGCTCTGGGGTCCCCACTGTACCCCCAGTGTGCACCATAGGTAAAAGCTGTGGTACTCACATGGGCCCTAATCATGTGAGTCTGGTTGTATCTATGGCTCAGTTTAATCTTCCCTCAGATCAAACATGCCTTCATTGCTGGTGATACCAGTAAATACTAACTTTCATTTTGTACATTTATACTGTTTTCTTTGTTGTCTATCCAATGTATGTCAATAAATAAGGAATAACACCCAAAATAATGAAAAATGGCAGTGGCGGGGGGGGGGGGGGTAAGAACACCACAGAAGGGGAAGGCTAATCTATCAGCCAGATAATTAATTCCTAACTAAAAATTTAACTGTATATTTTTGAAATATTCTCACCCAAGTCAACAAAGCAATGGAGATAATCCAATATTAATATGATGATCTTTAAATATTAGAGACGTTTTGAAAAACATTGTAAACTTGTGTCCTTTATAAAATCTCAAATAGAAACCTTAGCAATTTGGGGTACCTGGGTGGCTCAGTCAGTTAAGTGTCTGCCTTTGGCTCAGCTCATGATCCCAGGGTCTTGTGTTCAAGCCCCACATCGGGCTCCCTGCTCAGTGGAGAGTCTGCCTCTCCCTCTCCATCTGCCTCTCCTCCAGCTCATGTTCTCTCTCTCTCAGATAAATAAATAAAATCTTAAAAAAAAGAAATCTTAGCAATTTATCTGTGCAATATCAGAAAGCTATTTTCCATAAATGATTATAATGATAAAAGAAAGCAAGAATAAACGGATATATTTTCTGTGTCCTCATCATTAACTTACCCTACTGATGTAGCACCTAAACAATTCTGGTTAGTAGTCAGCTGGACTGAAATTCTGGCACTTGGTAAATTTTCACTTAGCAAAGAAGAGTTCCCCTCAGAAATCTGAAAGAAAGGCAATCCATCAGAAAGTTCCTTTCAATTGCCTTAAGGAAGGAGCATCAGACAAGGAAACATAGTTACAGTTAAATGTGTTGAAAAGTTACTATGTTCAAGTACTTCCCCAAGCATTTTTTGTACATTATCTCATTTACTCCTCACAACATCTCTATATAGGTTGTATGTCTGTCATCCACATTTTATAGTTTACAGATGAGTAAACTGACCTAATGAGTTTAAATAACTTGGCCAGGTATGGGCAACCAGGAATGGGCTGACCTCAGAGCCAGGGTTTGTCTGACATCAGGGACTATACCCTTTGCCATCATATTCAGAAATCGCACCTCCTTTTGTTACTTTTATCTTTTTAGCCACATGGAGTTAATTCTCATTTTTAGCTTCATAGATATATCCTTCAGGACTATTTAATCCCGAAAACACCCTAAGAGCTTCACCAGCATGGTCATTAAACATTAGAGGAAATCCCATTCATCTCTTCATCTAAAAATTTTTGACTGGTGACTTAATCAACTAGTTACTCTGTCTGATGTATATGCAAATGTACATTACCTGATTAATGTATAAATGAAGACGTGAGCAATTTTAAAACTGGAAGGAGCCCTTAAATGATCGGATCTAGTATCTCCAATGTTTTATGAACACCTCCCTTCCCCCAGCAGGGGTTTGCAAAGATGTTGCAAGGAGTTCATATCTTTAAAGGTAGTTGGGGTCTGTTTCCACTTTAATTTTATACCAATCAATAAAAATAATTTTGAGCATTTTTCCCTTTATAACAGAATTTGAGAGCTGAGAAGTATGTATGAAGAGAATATATGTTGTTGGTTAGCAGAGATCAAAGTGCATGCTCATGATTCAGTCAGATGATTTATCTCTTAGCCAAAATGGTAGTTTTTACTCCTTTGTACTTAAAACAGTTTTTATTAGGCATATATTATTTAAATTATACATAATAAGTGACCATTGATTAATGACAATGAATAAAAATTGCTCTGATTTTATATACAAGTCATTACGGAACATGAAAATAATAGTTCTATGAAATTCACCTAGAGATAATTTTCCCTACATCTATAAGTTTCATTATTTTGTCAGAGTTCTTACATTGCATTTTATATAGTATGTCTTTAACTCTTCAAAGGTCATTGTTAGAGAAAATTCAATAATGGGCACATACAGTTAAGCTGTTCACTAAATAGGAAAAAGTACTTTCATATGTTTGATAGATTTATTCAAGAAGAAATGTTTACAAACAATTACCTGAAAATTTCTCTTATTCTTTATCATTTAGAAGGAAAATGCAAGAAAAATATTAATAAATTTTATTTTTAAAATACATAATGCAATATTTCAATAAGCCATGCCAAAGAAGAAATATTGATTTACTTTTTATATCATAACATGTAACAAAAAATTTAATCTATAATTTATAGTACATCCTGTTCCAAAATCATATGCAACATAATAACATTTTAGAAATTAGTCAACACATCCATACTTTTTCTTACATACCTTAACACAAATTAAACAACATGCATCACTTATTAAATGGATAAAAGTGAGAATTTATGTAATATGGTTATGATTACTAGGTTATATTTAAACGAAAACATTTAATAATCTACTAATTTGAAATTTAAAATATGTTTTACTTAAAAATCACGCCATATGCCATGCAGAAATAATGAAATGATTTTTAAAATTCATAATGAGTCTCATGATATCATATCTTACAAAAATGTTTGGAATTACAAAAACGTTGTCAAATGCTGACCAAGTTCAACTCTCTCACTTCACTGTTAAAAAGAGAAGATTGGGTGCTTTGTCCAAGAATGTAAACCTAAGTTAGGTATGGACAGAGGTAAGATTAGTACCAATCTGATTTTTTTTTCATTGCATTGATGAAATGACTGGTATTTTTAAGTTCCATGTGTCACTGTCTTCATGTTCAGTATAGAAAAACAAAACAAAACAGGTGACCAACCCTCCACAGTCCAGCTGGAAACAAATGAAAGATGGAATTACTCTGAAAATCTTGGGTGCCATTCCTCTCAAGTATTGGCTTCTGGAAGACACGGCAACAGAATATCCCCAAACCCATATCTGCATGGCTTGAGCAAAATGACAATCAGTCTCCCTAGAAAGGCCCACAGTGAGGGATTCAGCCACCCACAACCATTGGAAGGGAGACTTCTTCTCTGTCTTCAGAAGCTTCCCCAGTCCTCCCAATTCCCAACTCCATGCAGGTAGTCCTCTGCTCCCGTTATCCATGAAGATGGGTCTGGATGGATCCCCGGTGTGACCTAAACTGGCAAAGCCACACTGGGATGTCGACCAGCTGGGGATGCAGAAAACTTCTGTTCCTTTTTTGACTTGTGGCTCCTGGTCCTGGCCATCTCATTGCTCCCCCTGTTCTCATGTGGGGTCAGTGTACTAGAACAGGAGCCCAGAGGTTTCTACCAAAAGGGCCTCAACTTTACAGCTTAGGAGAAACCACAAAACTAGTTCCTAGGAACAACTCTCCAATTTAAGAGGACAACTTTCATTAGCTCACCGAGGGCTGTTTGCTGTCTATAGTCTGCTTCAGCAACAGAACAAAAGTCAGGCAGCCCCTAACTCTGAATGTAGAGCCCACAATAATCTACTAAATGAAAGATGGAAACTTGATGTCAATCCCACCATAGGAGGTTTTCTTACCTTATTTTTTGTTTTTTCCTTTGTCTTGCAGGATTCCAAGGGATTGTGTCCAACTGTTTTTCTTACTTTTTCACACCTTTGAGCTTGAGGTAGCTGCAAAATAGCAGGCCTTAGGACATGTTCAGAATGCTTCCCAGGACCTTAAAAGAACAGAATTAAAGAGTCAATATATCTTTAGTGGACTACTTCTTCCTCCATATTTTTGACTAATTTAATGTTTGCTTTCTAAAGTCATCATTAAATGAGGGATTAATGTTAACTGATCAATGTCAAAATAGCCAGTGAATTGCTTAATGCTTACTTCTGCCCTCACCTTTACCCAATACCTATTCATTTTGGCCATGGGACTTGGCTTACCAAATTTGTTTTTTCACGTTTTGTCACTTGGCCCTAACTCCAGACCCCAACACATACACAACAAATTAAAATATAAATGTAGGGGCGCCTGGGTGGCTCAGTTGGTTAAGCGACTGCCTTCAGCTCAGGTCATGATCCCAGGGTCCTGGGATCGAGTCCCGCATCGGGCTCCCTGCTCCGCGGGGAGCCTGCTTCTCCCGCTCCCACTCCCCCTGCTTGTGTTCCCTCTCTCGCTGTGTCTCTCTCTGTCAAGTAAATAAATAAAATCTTTAAAATATATATATATATATAAATGTAAAATGTAAAATTTCAGAGGCTCTTGTAATAAACTACATACCTTGATCTGTACTGTTCATATCCACATTCCTTTGCACAAGAGTTGATGTCATAAAAACATTGTGTTTCTTCACTGTAAGAAAAAATATTTAGCACATTTTAAATCAAAGAGTCCGTTTCTACAGAATCCGGGTTTTAACAGTCCTGTACCAAACTCACCAGTAGATGTCGCTGTTGGCACTAACAACTGTAGGCTGTGCCTTGTGCTAAAAATGGGTGATGGCAGTGAGTTTTGCCACATAGTTCTGTTTACTTTCAGAAATATAAATGAAAGTTGGTCCACTAATAGAACAGGCACTTTTTTTTAGAATCACGAAAATGAGTACTGAAATGAATACATATTATAAAATCTGATGGTAGTGAACCCTCTGTGTGCATTAATATGTATTTCTTATAAAATGTTATGAAACTCTTAGCAAATTCTGCCACTCTCCCCAGTCTAGTGATACCTAGAGAGAGATGACTGTCATACTAGGGGATTTTTCTATCAAGTGTGTTGGTGGCATAAGACTATGGTGGTGGCTGCTGCAAGTATAGGATTATTATACATTTCAAAGAGATCACCCATCTCTTGCTCGCAAATTGCAGAAACAGCAACCTTTGAGCATTTGATTAATGGAAATGAGAAAAGAATAAGAACTGCTTCTTCCAAGTATTAAAACATATTATAAATGTTGAGGTAAATTGCTTCTCTAATTCAAAGTTCAATTAAATGCTTTATGACCTTTATTATTAAAAACCAGCAACAAATGGGCCATATCAAATTGTACTATTTTTCTCCATTCCAATACCACCAACATTTCACACAACATAAAATGGAATGGTACTTACTGATATCAATGTTCCTTTATTTAATCTTTTTGTATGTGTATGTCTAATTTAAAATAATTGAAACAGTTATTCAGATAACTTACATCCAACCCTCCACTTTAGGCACAAATACAATAAAACAAATTCTCTAGGATTAGGGCCCCTATTCCTCTTAATGTCTGTAACTTGTCAGTCAGGTTTAAAAGGGGTCTATTGAGCTTGAAAGTATTTCTTCTGTATCTGAAAGGTATCTGACATATATGTTGCTCAGTCATGTTTGGAATTATTAATAAGAATATAAATACATTAGTTTGAAAACCCTGTGGCTCCCAGGTAGAGAGGGATCATTTAAAATAGGAAGTGAATAGTTTATATTTTTTATTTCTTTTCTTTTTTTTTTTTAAAGATTTTATTTATTTATTTGAGAGAGAGAGAATGAGAGACAGAGAGCATAAGGGAGGAGGGTCAGAGGGAGAAGCAGACTCCCTGCCGAGCAGGGAGCGCGATGCGGGACTCGATCCCGGGACTCCAGGATCATGACCTGAGCCGAAGGCAGTTGCTTAACCAACTGAGCCACCCAGGCGCCCCTGTATTTTTTATTTCTTAGTGGCAAGCTTAACTTGGAAAAGGCAGCTGGTTGTTCAGTAGAAACAAAAACAAAAAGAATATAAAATTGTAATTTTAATGTAATGTTCCAACCATTTCAAATATTTTATGATAAGATAGATTTACTTAGCAAAGCACTATAAATTTCAAATAAAAAGAAGTAATGTTTTAGTGAAAAGGTTAAGTAATCATATCCTAAAAAAATAAATGAAAATAAAAGGAATCATATTCTAAACCTTAGAATATTCACTTAAAGCATAAACTTTAGAATAAGAATTTAAAGTATAGCTGTAGGGACGCCTGGGTGGTTCAGTCGTTAAGTGTCTGCCTTCAGCTCAGGTTATGATCCCAGGGTGCTGGGATCGAGCCCCACATCAGGCTCCCTGCTCTGCGGGAAGCCTGCTTCTCCCTCTCCCGCTCCCCCTACTTGTGTTCATCTCTTGCTGTGTCTCTCTCTGTCAAATAAATAAATAAAATCTTTTAAATAAAATAAAGTATAGCTGTATATTTTGAGTACTGTATATATTATAAACTGTACAGATGAATAATAATGAGTAAAATAAAGCAAGTTATCTTATGGAGCTGCCTTATATAACATATTGCTATCATAAACATGAATTCCTTAAAAACATCATCAAATTCAAAATTTCTGCCAAAAATAAACAGATGCACTGTCTGGATTTGTGGAGTTGGAATTCATAAGTCATTCTTCTAATCATACTTTGCCTCTATTTTATTTGCCCCTAAAATGCCAGCATTTTATAGTAGCTGAGTAAGAAAGCACACCATCAATGAGAATGAATTTTGAAAAGTCAGAGTGTCAGGCTCGAGGTTCTGGAAGCAGTTTATTACCTGCCCCAGAAGGGGGGAAGGTCAGGAGGTTGGTGAAGGATGATGATCTCATTCGATTCTGGAACAAGGTTGATGCTAGAAGCAAATTGCAAACTGAAGTCAGTGAGGAAGTGGTTTTTTGTGTTTCTTTTGATTTGGACTTTTGCTGTTTCATAAAAATTTCTGTATCACTAATTTAGAAAAGGTTTTGTATTTTTTTTTAATCAATAGAAATAAAATGGGCTTGTGGTGAGAATTACAAATTAATTTCTATTCGATTCAATAAATACTGGAGTGCTCACCGTGTGTAAGACACTCTATCAGGCAGGAAGATGACCTCAAGGAAGGCACAGTGGAGGGGATAGACATACACAGAAATAGCTTTCTTACAAGGCAGAGGACAATGCGGTCATGTATAAAAGGAATCACAGAGTGCTTTGAGTGTAGAAGAGAGGCAAACTGAGTTACTGGTTTACTCAGAATACAGTATATGATGTTCTTAAAGTGTTCTTTTCAAGGCAGACATCTATTTGTTTAAGTAGATGGTAACTTAGGGAGAAATGTCAGTTTCCCCTAATTACAAAGCTAATGCATCCTTAATGCAGACACTTTGGAAACATGACAAAATGCAGAGTGGGTGGAAAACCCCAAATTGCCTGTAATCCCATTACCTAAGATAACCATTGCTGACATTATGGCTGATGTCCTTTCCATCTTTCATCCAATGTTGATAAATTGAATTTTTAAATAGTGACTCACTGTACAATCCATCTTATAGACTGCTATTTTCATACAATAATTTATTATAAACACTCTCCGACGGGTAGACTTTTAAACATTTCCATTTGAAAAGTTTCTCAGTAATTTCACACTCAGAGAAAACATAACAGTGAACAGTCAACAGTCAGGTCTATACCTACCTCCTTGGGACTGAGGGTCTGTAGTATGCAAAGTAAAAGATGAAGACCGTACACGCTTTCTTAGAAAACCATTACATTCTGCAAGAAATTTAACATGATGGGTAAAATTGCTGGCAATAACAAATAATCCTCAACCCAAGATATGGAAGAATAAATAGAATTACCTTTTGCCTACATAGATCATCATCTGCTAACATGTTAACTCCCATCATCTGCTAACATGTTAACTCCTGAAGCCCAAGTTTAAATGCTGGGGTTAATAGCTTGGTGATTATAAAGCGATAGGCATATCATCCTCCTAAGAAACACTTAGAAACAAGTGGCTTCGGCAAGAAACTGCATATGACTTTTGAGATTGTGTAGAGAATGTGTTTGGTAGGTTGAGACCCAGGCAATGCAGAAAGAAGGGACCTTAGCTTTGCTAACGTCAGTGTTCTTGGGACCTACGTGTCATCTTTCAAAACAAAAGCCAGTTTATTTTGGTGTTTAAACACAAGCAAAACCATGAAGTTTTACCCAGTTCTTGCCACATGCCAAAATACTTGGGCCTGCTTATTTTCTTTGTCTGAAGATTGGTTTTGAAATACAGGATGTAAGTCATTACCATGCTCTGCTGCCTCACATGCGGTGTCTTCTGCAGGTCTCTGGAAGGAAACAAAGCTGCCGATGAGAGTTGAGTGCTGTTTTTACGTCAGAATTCTACCCTGTCACTTTAGAAGAGAATTCTCAAAAGCCAGGTCTATTCAGCTAGGCCAGGACAAAGCCACTCACCTTTACACCTTTACTCCTAGGCATATATTCAAGACAAAGCAAAGTGTTAGTCTTAGCGGTTTTGTATTTCAGTGGCTGCAGAATCCCTTGTCAGAACTTGTTTAAAAGGAAGATTTTGAAACCGAGCTCTCAAGATCTGAAGCGGTTGGCCTGGGGTGGGGCCCAGGAAACTGACTTTTCGACCAGGGCTTGGGGTTTGAGCTTCTCTAGTGAGTTTTGTGGGTAGTAGGGTAAATGACTCGCATAAGTGGGAACAAATAACAGGAAAATACTAATCAAGCTAAAGTGGGAAAGCTATTAATCTTATTGTTGGTCTTTCAAAGCAGGTGGTACTAAAGTATGATGCAGATAGGGTCCTTAAGATCCCTTTTGAATCAAGCAACGAAGTTTAGAACCTATTTTATCCCCGGTTTTAAGCGAGGTCAGTGGTGGAGACCCATGAGGAGCCTCGACCCTGCTAACTTCTTTCATTCTGCCCCCTTCCAAGTCACTCCAAATAAACCCTCTAATTTTGGGTAAAGATGGCATGTTATTCATAGCTTCAAGACAAGGCAGGCCTCTGGCCTCCCACTTAGGCCAAATTGCTGCCAGTAAAAACCTACTATATAAATATTCTAGAGTCACTGCTCTGCTATGTGAAGAGCAAGAGGATAAACTAAGGCAACCACGGTATCATTCAGCAGCACTAGCTTCTTTGAAACATCATTTTCTTTGTCAAAGTAAAAGTCAAACAGAAAATTAGCTTGATCTTACCTTAAAAGTTTGTTCTCTCTTTGCAAAAACGAATATTGGTTGAGCAATGACAGATTTCTCTGTAAAAGAAAGAGAACAGGCAAAAAGTCAAACTCTATTCGGACATTTCTAACACCAGCTAAGAATATTTGAAGATTTTTTTGTTTCGTTTTGTATTTTTCCTGCCTTTTGGTAAAATCCAAACACTTTTTACATGGACACTATAACTTGTGTATTTACAAATGATTTTAACAGTTAATTACAGAAATGAATACTTGGGGAAAGCAATAATAATGTGTTTCCATAAATAGTGAGATCATTCCATTAAAAGAACACTTTAAGTGTTTAAGGAAAACAAAGTATAATTACCTGCATTTAGAATATCATTAGGACATCATGATTAACATCTTTGCTTTTAGAATGAAAAATTCCAAGGGGTGAAAAAATCTCATCTAAGAATAGTTCTTCTACTTGGGTTGGATCTCAAGGTAAAAATGGTATAGATGTATTGTGTTCCATCCTTAGAATGATCCAGAAATAATCCATATTTCCTTGATTGGAGTAGTCATATACTAAGCCATGTTTTCAATGTTTAGACTAGAAATTCATTTTAGTCTTTTGTCTTTAGCCCTGCTGACCTTATTAATCTTTTATATTTTCCTATCTTAGGTAAGACAACAGAGAGAAACTCATTTACTGGAGGGTGATAACCTTAAATATCAGCACTCCAGAATTCTAAGGGAAAATGACATGTTTGTTAAAAGCCTGGGTCCTGAAGTTAGGTGGGCATGTGTAGCACTAATACTTGGGGAAATAATATGTTTGTACCTTTAGTTTCTTCATCTGAAAACAAAATGAAGATTATAACAGTACTTATCTCACGGAGCTTATGGGACAATTAAATGAATTTTTGGATATAATTACTTAGATTTTTACAAGACCAAAAAAAAAAAAAGGAGAAAAAAATCTTTAAAGAAAGGATATTAAATATGGGGCATGCCACCAATCCCCGTTCCCAAACTCTTAGCTGACATTGCCAACTTATGACAACACTTTCTTTCTTTTTTAAATTGAAGTATAAATGACAACTCTTTCTTAATGAGCCCAAATATGATCTCAGAATTTTTCTCATTATAGGTTTCCAGCAGCCATTATCAATATATTGTCCTGCCATACAAGCCAAGGTAATTTGCCATCCCTGGGCTGAATAAATAAAACCCTTACTGAGTTTCAAGGAACTACCAGACAATTACATTTTTTTTTTATATGCCAGAAAGGGGTTCTCCAGTTCCCTATAATCTAATCCCATAAGAGAGTGTCAAAACTCTGCCAGACTACCCTTGCCAAGCTCCTGGGTCCCATGACCTTGGGTACCTTTTTTCAGTCCAGTGAGGCAAACCGTTCACTTTTTCATGCAAGTGCTTACCCCATTGTCTGCCCTTGGAGCCAAGCGAGCCCCAGCAGAAAATGCACAAGAACATCTTGGCATTCCCATCCATATTAAACTATAGCTCAATTCCTTCTCGAACAAGCTCCTCTTCCAGCAATTACATTAGATTTAAGAAATGAAGACTCTAGTGACTTCAAAAGAAAATAGTCTTCATGAATGTTCAGGGGAATACTTATGAATTAGAATTATAAATTGGCCTCTTCTAAACTGGACTTAGGATCGTTAGGCCGAAAATAACATGATGAGGCCTAATCTTAGACAAAGGACAGGTTGACTTTCCCTTGATCAAAACATTGAGCTAAACACAGGCAAAAGCAATCTTCCGGGCAGCATTAAGGGTTACTTGCAGCTTGAAGGACATATGATAGAGTAAGTACATCACTTTTATTCATTAATTCAGTAAATATTTACTGAGCATCTTTTTTGTGCCAGCCACTGTGCTAGGATGGAGGTATACATTGTCTGATTGAAGTTACAGTAACCTCAACAGAGCCACCGTCTCTCCTTGACACACGAGGTACAGGGATTGGAAAGCAGAGTCTCTCCATCCTCCTCCTCCATCTTGATTCTCCCAAGCAACTCTTTTGGTTCCAACGACAATGCCAAAAGTAAGCACATTTATCAAGCCATCAGATCCATAACAGTTTTCTTACTTGACCCAGTAGGAAAATTTCAAAATAAAACAAGGTTCTTATGATTTTATATTTTTAAATTTAGCCTTTTTTCTTTCTGATGTATTCATTAATCAACCCATTTATTCAAAAAATGTGTATTGAGGATTGACTGTGTACAAGACAACTTGCAAGGCAAGAGAGAGGGGCAAATGGTACAAGATGAGGCTGAAGGTGAGTGAATATAAACTTCTTTTTCTCCTCTTCTAATATGTACCATAATTTCCCCTCCCCCAATTTTACATGGGTTGTGAGGCCTTGTCCCTGCCCTGATTTCCGTATGTTTAATTGACGGTCTCTGAGAAAACTGCTTCATCTGGGGAAGTAACTGGAGGATTTTCTCAATGAATCATCTCAGAGAAGGAGGTTCAAAAGGATCTATGGAGCCAAAAGCAGATCCAGAAGAAGAGGAAGACCCTGAACCTGGAGTACCATTGACTCAGAGTCCCAGTGGGGGTGGGGGTAGGTACTGCTAGGGGCCCCAAGTTTTTGCTACACAGTCTCTCCCACGTAGAGTCCTGCAGACCGCCTCTTTGCTGCATTGGTAGTTTAGGAAAGGTGAAAACTGAGTCGTCCACGCTGGGTAGAACCAGGCTAGTCTAGCCGGGGCCAGAAAGGTTATGGAAACTGTTGGCAGGAAAGAGAGTGGCAACCTGCAGAGGGGCAGGCTCTGCCAAATGGGTCACTTCTTAATTGCTACCAGGACTGGAATTATCCACTTGGACCAAGGCCCTGGCAAGTCCTGCATTTTCCTTTCCCCGTCTTCCTGGACCTATCCACATGTCTGCCACATCCTCTTCTCTAATTTCTTCTCCCTGTGCACTCTTACCACAGGTTCCAATACTGCTCTTTATGCCCCTGCCTCTCTTACCTGTGGCCGGCTCTGGGACTGGTCAAAGCATGGATTTCCTAGTTCTGAAGTCGAATAGTCCTAGAGCTGCTTTTTGGTTTTGTTTTTGTTTTTAATTACTCTAAGCCTCAGCTTTATCACCTCTCTCTGTATATATTTTTAAAAATTTGTCCTGAGGATTGAAGCAGTATATGCATATGGGAGCACCTAGTACAGTTCCCTCTTCAAACCTGTTTGGAACAAAGCAGAACCTCATCTGTCCATCTGTCTATCTATCCATCTATCCATTCTCCATATAAGCACACATCTCTCTATATATCCAGATATTTACAGTATATTCCATATCTATCAATTGATCTAGCTATCCATCCATGCATAAACATATAGCAATATATCAGACTGCAGTTTGCACAGAAGACATTCACTAAAAGTCAGATTCCCTGCCCTCCTCCTCTCCCATCCAATGTTACACGCAGGCACCCCAAGACTCATGTTAGTCTGGGGGAAATGTCTCATTGTTCCTCAAGAGTCTTTCTTTCTCCTTTCACTCATTACCTTATTCTTACCCCTAGTTTCCTTCTCACTTCTCCTCATTGAGCTCCTCTATTTCTTCTGCTTTTAATATCAGGAAGTTCCTGAATTCAGGCTGTGGCCCATACATAGTTTTAGAGATTGTTGGTCCTCAACAAGTGGTCCAGATTGACCAGTACCATTACAGGGTGCTTGTTAGAAATGCAGACTCTCAGGCCCCACCCCAGACCTACAGAATGAGCATTTGTATTTGACATGATCCCCAGGTGATGTATATATATATAAATATATATACATCTATAGTAGTACTATAGACTACTCCCGGTTTCTATCACCCAAGACCAAATTTAGGAAGATGGCAGTGGAGACTCGTGGAGTCAGTGACTAACCTTCCAGATGTTCTGAGTAACCTGACAATTAATGAGAAAATGATTACTACTCAAACTATGTACTATGATTGTTGCGACTCAATGTAGGGTGAAGTCAAGGGCTACTCTGAAGGCTTAAAAAGAAATCCCTGTAGTAAGGATATTAAAATATTGACATTGATATTGAAATCAGTCATGCAGATATTTTGCTTGAAGCAATTAATGATTTCCTCTCTGATGCAAAAGTTGGTTTGCTGCTTTGATATGTCTGAGATCTGACGTTTTTTTCTTGAAAGATGTTCTTAGAAAATGTCTCTGTTTGAGATTATTAAATGTTAATTAAAATGTTCGTTTCTGCAAGGCAAAAAATTAGGCTGAAAGCATAAACTACATCAAAAACCTTTCCATGGTACTGAGATTCTTCAATAAGAATCTGAAACACCTGAAGTTTCAACTCTAAAAATGAGATCTTCTGTAGAAAAAATAGACAAATCATAGCAAGTGACCTTAATCTCCATATGAGACCCTGGAAAGAGGAGACACAGAGGGTCTGAATCATAATCTTGACTTTTTTTAAAGAAAAAACACAAACTTAACCTTATATTAAAATAATCCAAGGCAGTTTTAATAAGGGCAAGTTGCAACCCCAGAAGCTAAAGGAATCTGTGCCAATTTACAAGGGAAGCCCAAGCATGAGACATTCTGTACTTATTTCCAGCCATATACAGAGGAGCTCTATAAAAATGCAAAAGGAACAAAATAAACAACAAATCACCCATCCACCAACATATAAAAAAGTAAGTCTTTACAAGAGCAGGTGGTAGGGCCACAGACTGACATTATGAACTATGATGGGACACTCTTGGTTCTATGTTATGAGATGCTTTGCACCGTCTTGAAGATAAAATAACCAGGACCTCAGAGGAAAACAGGCAGTTTACACAGGAAGTTTCCAGGCTGATTCACAAAGCACCAGCTCAACTTGAGACACAGGATGAATGGACCCTGCTGGAATGATTCCAGCCCTGGTCATTGCTGCTGAAGTCATAACCAATTTTGTGTACTCTAAATACAAAACTGTTGTAATAAATACAGTGTATGAAGTAGAAGGGAAAAACACACACCCTTTCAATCAACTTCTAAATTTTCTGAGCTGCTTTAAGTTCTTGTTAAAAATGAAGTTATTAACTGCCCACTCTAAGAAATCTAG